TACAGTGCTTTTAATGCTACAGTCCTGAAAACACTATATCTTTCTGGGACTATTGTGCAGAGTTGTGTTTGTACCGATACTCAGACCACTGCTTCATCTATAATCTGTGTTTTGCTTTCAGCCTGTATTTTCATATTTTCTAAAGTCATAGTTTCCTTTTTTGTCTGTAAATAGGTCGCAAGTAGATCCATCCATGTTTGGGGTCAGCCATATGCTTCCAATGCCAATTCTTTCATGTGAACGTGCTTGTTCCTGGATGGATAAACTGTAAATTAATTTATTGAGTTGATAACCTACTTTGTCTGTCTATCTTAGCCTAATTGCACATGTTGCGAGAACTGAAGCTGTAAATAAAGGATATTCCGGTCGACCTTTGTCCATAGTAAACAGTCTTGGCAAGATGGCTTTATTGCACCTATATAATGCAGAACAGCGACATTACGGGAGCTCTTGCAATAAAATAAAATGTAAAAAAAAGCAAACAAAAAACACATTACATACACTCAAACACACAATCAATTTTACCTATATTTTACCCAAAATTACACTATAATATTTAGCTACACATACTTAGCAGTACATATACTTTTATCTCAGATAAAATGTATGGAAATTTCATCTATTTCTAAAGATATTACACTCTTAATTGTGGGCCATATTATAAAATTATAAAAGACTTCTGTTTTAAATATATTAGCAATAATAATTCCATAACATATTAAACCTAAACTTCCCTAGCTAACATTAATCTACTTGTAGTCTAATGCAAGTCTAACAGTCATTAAAATTCATTAATTTCAAAGAATAACCTGCTAAACTCCCGTCTTATAACCTCCCTGTGCTGACAGTGATTATAATAATTAGATATCCAGATTTTTGTGCTATTTTTCTTAAGGAAGTATGAAGTACGCGTAGACCCCATGTGCTGCAAATATTCCTTTGACTAGCTTACATGTCACAAAGACTGCTTAAATGCTTTAAGATGTTCATTAGTATCGAAAGTTTTCCTTACCTTTTCTCTGTTTCTGTGAGCTCTGAATAAAGTAGGAGCAAGTCCGACCTATTAATGTACATTGCAATGGGAGTGGTCAAGTGCTCTTCACAGTTCTGCAGTTCCGGTTTTCAAGGAATGAAAACCATTCCTGCAGAGGGTGACACATGTTTACTGCCCACATGCTTCCAGTCCAGTGTACATGTACACTAATAAAACACTCATGGCCAAAGACGTTGACTTCCAATAAAACGAGAGTTAGACGTTAGAGATATGAGCCATGCCAAGTTTAATGCAGTTCATAGTGTATGCTTATTATTACTTTATGAAAATCTTCTTGTTTTAAATTATTTGACTTGTACGCCAAATAGTTTGTGGTCTTCTAGTTCAAGTTCAAGTTTATTTATATATATAATACTTTTAAAACAACAACTGTTGACCAAAGTACTGTACAATAAAAATAGTCAAGGCAGAAGACATAAAAAATAGGATAAAGTTAGAAGGGAATAGAATCATAGAATGATAAGATAGTAAAAACTATAGTAACAGACTCATAATGATATAAAAGCCAAAGAATAAAAATGGGTCTTTAGACAGGTTTTAAAAGTATCCAGTGTTGGGGAGGCCCTGATATGGTGAGGCAAAGTGTTCCACAATTTAGGAGCAGTCACCGCAAATGCCCGGTCTTCTCTGTGTTTTAATCTGGACCTTGGGACAACTAGGAGCATTTTGTCCGCAGACCTCAATGATCTTGCAGGAGTATACCAGGTTAGGAGATCAGAAAGATGTGTAGGAGCTGGTCCATGCTGCGTCTTAAAAACAAGTATTAAAATCTTAAAATCAATTCGAAAACTGACTGGCAGCCAATGTAATGATGCAAATATGGCAGATATTTGATCTCGCTTGCATGTGCCAGTTAGGTTGAACATTTTTCTTGTGAAACAAAGGGGGGGCCCAGCAAAAAAAGTTTGGGAACCGCTGCCCTGGGCCATTTCACCTCAGTGAATCACATGATAATTTGGGGCTAGGCTTCACAATGGGTTCACCCAAAACCCTGGCTGATTGTGACCCACACCCGTTTTCACACTTTGTGATTAGGGTCAATAGGGGGTCTTGGAGACACTTAATATCTGGGCTTAATATCTGGAACTCTTCAATGGAGATTGACAGACCACGTGACTTGCGCGCGTTGCATTGTGGGCACGAATGGCAGCAAAATCAAAACACTGCATGAAGCGCTAGCATTTCCAGCACCTGTAACCATCAATTCTGCAATTTTAATCCCTACTTGCATTTTATTTGCCCCAAAAACAGTTATGTACAAAACCCTGGTATATAGATGGAGCCCAGTCTCTATCGCATTGCAAACATTAGCCCACAAAGCCACACTAAACAAAGCAGCATAGTGCAACGATTTCAATTCAAATCAATATAGGACTTATTTGTAACCTACATCAACAATTATGATATGATAAGTTACTTATTAACTACAACAAAAAATCTGGAAATGCTTGGAGCAGACTAACATGTGAGCTGGAGTGTTCTGGAACATTATATTTAGTCTTCAAATAGCTGCAACTTCAGAAACATGACTTGAACAATTTTTCTTCCACGAAGGAATCTGATAAAAAAAAACTATTTCTTTACCCGTCGGCTTCCCGTGGTTGTCATGCTACTCGCTATGGCAGTTAATAATACAACAGCCTTGCCATTGCCATTCTTTATGTCTCTGTTTATCTCTGTGTGACTGTTGTCTTTTAATAGCCCATGTGGGCTAGTACCACTTGCCACTTGTACATACAATCCTTTGCGGTTTTACCCCGGAAAGGACGTCACATTTTCAAACTCTATTGTTTTTAGAACTGAAGAAGCTTCACAGATGACAGATGAAAGGTCTCCAAGTTTCCTTGAAGACCTTTCATCTTTTCCAACAATTCTCAGATTAATTTGTGTTCTACAAATTTGTGTTCTACAAATTAATCTGAGAATTGTTACAATGTTCCATTCTAAATCTGTTGTGTTCTACAACAGATTTAGAACTAGAGATGGACCGATCCGATATTACGTATCGGTATCGGTCCGATACTGACCTAAGTTACTGGATCGGATATCGGAGAAAAATAAAAAATGTAATCCGATCCATTAAATATCACGAAAGCACCTCACAAAACTTGCAACACGCCGTAACTCACCTCAGAACGTTAGCACGTCGGAGCAGTATGCATCACGTGATAGAGCGGCTGTGGCATGCGGGACCTGTCGGTGGTCTGGATAGCATGTGGAGCTTCGCTAGCAACCCGGCATTTCATCTCCGACAAAGTTATCCCCGAGAGAAGTAAAGCAAGTGTGTAAGTCCATCTCTGAATGTTTGTAAAGCATTCCTGCGTTAAGCTTTACAAACGATATATGGAGCAACTGCCTCTTCTTGCTGCTACTTCAATCATGAAACTGCTTAATGATCAGCTGATCGGCTTTTCTGTCGCGAGTCTGTCTCTCTTGTTTGTTTTTGGCCCACTTTGCACCAGAAAGAGGAAAACAGCGGATAAACAACAGCAGCACGTTTAAGCTTGATAAGCTGTTGTTAGAATTTATTTAATATTACTTTCTACACCAGGATCTTTTTCTATGTAGCTGACGCTGGTAACTGTGCAGGGGCGGATCTAGCAAAGTTTAGCCAGGGGGGCCGATAGGGCATTAACAGGGAAAAGGGGGCACAAAGACATACTTTTCTTTCTTATTCTCATTTAAAATGTCTAGCTTTTAATAAATAATTAGCTGACACCCAAAGTTTTAATTTGATGCAAAATGAATAGAAGTCAATTACTGTATATAGTAACTGTTAAGTCTAATATACCCTAGTAAGCTATAGTACTTTTTCCTTTGGGAAGGTACCATCTGTGCAGTGTGCAATTTTGTTGAAGAAAGATGTTGAATCTATTTAATATTTTAATATATTGAAAAATAATTGATTTCTGTGCATTTTTTTTCACACTGCATCAAATTAAGGTTGATTACGTTGATTAAGCATCATGAGGTGGAGCGTGAGGGGTGGTTCCCTATTTTTTATTTATTTATTTTTGTTGTTGCTGGGAGTTGGAACCCTATTAGTTAGGTTGCTTAATATTTACGCTAAGTGCTCTTTAAAATACCAGAATAGGGAGGATGGTGTAGGTTTAAGTTTATTAGATTGATCAGTATTGCTGAACTATGAAATTTTTTTTTTTGCATACAGGTATAACAGAATAGCTTTAGTGTAGTTGTTGTTTTAAACTTGAGTATGAACTTATATAAAATGCAGCAAGATATTTAAAAAAAACAGTTTTGTTGATTAAAAACACTATATCGGATTCGTATCGGTATCGGCAGATATCCAAATTTATGATATCGGTATCGGTATCGGACATAAAAAAGTGGTATCGTGCCATCTCTATTTAGAAGGGAACATTGTAACTTTTTTCTTCTTTTTTTGTCTTGTTTTAAGCTTGTTTGTTTTGTTAGGAACTGAACTCTCTGAACTACCTCCACTCCCGTTTCTCCTCAATCCACTCCCTTTTCCCTTTCCAAGAAGTCCATAACAGATTAATTCACATTATCTGTTCTCCTTCTCATGGGCCAAGATAACTTTCTTTTGCAAGAGATAATGAGAAATAAGAGATAACTCTTTATTTTCATTGCACAGTCACACCTAGTACAATAGTACAACGAAATTGGAAACTGTCCTGCGTCAGCACTATGCACAACACAACACAGTAATTTATCTTAATAAATAAAAAGAATTAGTGTATGTTTATATTGCACATTATTATTAGAACTATACACAGATGCACTCAGCACACTTTCAAAAAAGCAACGTCTCGTCTCCCCCAGAGATAAGCCCCACCACGGTGGTATCATCTGCTCACAGAAGTAAACGTGTCTCTACCAGACTGAAAGGGTGAGAAGATTGATGGACTAGTCCTCCAGTGACTGTACCAATATAGATGTATTTTTTAGTTGTTGATCATTTCATGATTTTGACGACAGAGACTTGCTGCTTCATTTTCCCCTGCCCTATCTACCGAGAAACCTGACGCCAAGTTATTTGCATACTAACTGTGATTGGATGTTTAGCTGGAGGGGGGGGGGGGTTTCTCGGCCAAGTGCTGTTGTTAAATCTTGTCCATATTCCGTTTGTGGGTAATGTATTATTTTCTTTCACAACTTCTAAAAGTTTGACTTAATGGGGCAGGATGTTTGTTTAAGTGGGCATTGGCCACTCTTGCCCCAGAGGGGGCAGGACAAAAATGAAGCTTTAAGAAAGTAAAGTTTTAAAAATAAAAACAAACATACTTAAAACAACAAATAATGACTGAGGGGCTCATTTGAACAGTCCAATACTGCTCACTATAGTAAAACAGCTGTTAGAGCAATCTCACATCTTTACTTCGTGATCATTTTACAGCTGTCTTGTAATACTGTCTTGACAGTATACAGTATATGCTATTTGTGCTATAAAGTTGATATGAAGTTGGATTTCAGTGAATGAATCTAAGCATCATCAACTAAACGATTAATCTCTGCTACGCTTTAAGTAACCTAACTCTGACCATGAGCACCACAGCCACTGTGCATGAGTTACGCACTGTTTACTCAGCAGTGTTTACTGTTACTGTTTACTTTAAATCCTTTACAGTACTGGAAAGTGCTTTCATGCAACCTTTACATAACACAATGTTTGCTTACCAAGTTTGTTTTGCAGGACGTTTTACATATACAGAGCCAATATCCTTACCTTCCTCTCCTGTCTTTCTTATCTTTCTCTGTCTCTGAGTGAAGTTAGCTCTCTTTCCTTTTTTTTCACCATAACAACACCAGCTCACCAATAATAAATTATATGGTTTTGCCTTTTTCATCATTTTGTATACACAATTAGGACTGTCTTCCATGTGTTACAGTTTAGGCTCAAATTGGTTTGACGTTTGATGCCGTGCAATAACTCTCCTCAAATGACTTAAACTTTTTATACATTTAGAAGCATGAAACAGTCATTAATGGGCATAGTTGCTTCATCCAGTCTTCTTTGATTGAAAGAC